AACTTTTTCAGAGCAGCTTGGACTTCTGCTGGAGTTCCTTTGAGGATGGCCTCACAATAGTGCTCTGAGTCTGTGCCAAGCAGAATGCATGTGAATCGGTTTGCATGGACTAGCTGGCCATTGTTCCTGCTCTTGTACGAGTACTTGATCTCCCTGGGCTTGTATACTCGGACAAGGAAGTCTTGGGTTTTGGCGCTGCTCTTCGTGAGAAAACCCAGTGGAGACGTCGGCTGTTCTGCAGCAGCAGCCATGGTAGCTCACCCGGAGGATCACCGTGGAGCGCACAGTGACACAGGCTGAGAAGCACCGTGCACGGCACGGTGAGACTGGGTGAGCGGATGCGGACAAGGCTCGCTTTTGCTCGTTCTTTGAACCAGAACGGCAATGATTACAGAATTTCAAAGTTACAAGTGATGCCTCCACGAAGCACCCCCCCTGTGGAGTCGAGAAAGCGTGTTGCTGTATGTGTGCGTGACTCGATGGATGTGATGTGTGTGCTGTGTGGCCCCGCCCCAAAAAATGTTTCGGCCTCTCAAGGCCCCCCCCGCTCCACGAATCCCATTGGGGGGTCGAGATCCCCGCTCTGGTGGGCGGAGACGCCAAAGGCTTCGAAAACCGCGAGGGAGGGAAGGATAAGGGAGAAGAAAAGGACGGAGAGGGAGGGCTCGGAGGCCCTTGGAGGGGGGGATGTGCCCATCCGAGGGAACGGTGCACCCCCCCCTCCCCGTCGTGAAAACGAGGCACCAGCCGTGGCAACGACCCCCCCCCTATCCCCCTCCGCGACCTGAGTAGACCACCCAGGCCAGCGGAGGACGTCATAGGGGGCGGGGGTTCTGACTTCGATGAAAGAAGAGAAGGAAAGCGGGGGGCAAGGATCAGGCAGACGAAAGCCCTTTTAGGCTTTACCCGGCGTGTGGAAATGCCTTTTTTGGCTTTTGCGGGGACTAACCCGCGCGGTCGCCCGCAGGCGACAGGGCGCCCAGGCCCTCTCCGCGCGCGCAGGCGCGTGGCAAACTACATGCGCACGATCGCCCGTGGAATCGAATGGAACCGTCCGCGGCGAGTCGTCCGCGGCGACTCAGGACCACGCCGCCCTGGAAGATTCTGCGTCCCGACTCAGGACCACGCCGACTCAGGACCACGCCGCCCTCGTCCGAGGCGCTACAAGGATGCATTCTGCGACGCTGGAGATCCTGATGCGACGAGGACGCTGCAGAGAAACATTCTGCGCGCGTACGCACGACCTGGAACGACAAGCACAATACGGGAACAAATTCGGTGACGCTGGAGTCCCCGATGAGACGAAGAAGCAGCAGAGACACGTCTCAAGGCGCAGCAACACCGAAGTGACGCAAACGCACCCCGCGACACGACAAGGACGCTGCAAGAAGAAACTCGGCGACGCAGGAGTGCGTGGAAGCTACAAAGGCATGGAAAGGAGGCTACGAGGAAACTACAGAGCATTCAAAGCGTCTCGAGCTTAGGGAGCCTTCCGCAGAGCCCTTGTGCGCACGACTTTGGCCGAAGGCCATCATATATGCAAGTACAACAGTTCATGCAGGAATCTCTTGTGCATGTGTTGGTGCCACTGCTGCGAGCAGGCAGTGGACGAGCGAGGAGGGGGTATCAACCTTGACCGCCGGCCCCCGCCCCCTTCCCTTGACCGCGCTCCGCGGCCGGGCGCAAGCGCGGCCGGTCGGGGCAGCCGGCAGGGGCAGCCGGCCGGGGCAGCCGGCCGCCCTCCCCTCCTGCTCGTCCTCCTCCTCCTCCTCCTGCTCGTCCTCGTCCTCCTCCTGCTCGTCTTCTTTCTCCTGCTCCTCCTCCTCCTCCTCCTCCTCTTTCTCCTGCTCCTCCTCCTCCTCCTCCTCCTCCTCCTCCTCCTCTTCCTCTTGCTCGTCCTCGTTCTCGTCGTCCTCGTTTTGCTCGTCCTCCTCCTCCTGGTGCTCTCTCCTCCTCCTCCTCCTCCTCCTCCTCCTCCTCCTCCTCCTCCTCCTCCTCCTGGTGGTCCTCGTTCTCCTCCTCCTGGTGCTCTCCCCCCCCCTCCTCCTCCTCCTCCTCGTCCTCCTCCTCCTCTTCCTCCTCCTCCTCCTCCTCCTCCTCCTCCTCCTCCTCCTCCTCCTCCTCCTCCTGGTAGTCCTCCCCCTCCCCTCCTCCTCCTCCTCCTCCTCTTCCTGGTCGCCCTCGTTCTCGTCCTCCTCGTCTTGCTCGTCCTCCTCCTCGTGGTGTTCTCTCCTCCTCCTCCTCCTCCTCCTCCTCCTCCTCCTCCACCTCCATCCTCTGCTCCTCCTCCTCCTCCTCCTCCTCCTCCTCCTCCTCGTTCTCCTGCTCCTCCTCTCCTCCTCCTCCTCCTCCTCCTCTTCCTCTTGACTCCGTCCTCGTTCTCGTCGTCTCGTCTTTGCTCGTCCTCCTCCTCCTCCTCCTCTCCTCCTCGCTCCTGGTGTGTCCTCGTTCTCCTCCTCCTGGTGCTCTCCCCCCCCCCCTCCTACTCCTCGTCCTCCTCCTCCTCTCCTCCTCCTCGTCCTCCGCCTCCTCTTCCTCCTCCTCCTCCTCCTCCTCAATCCTCCTCCCTCTTCCTCCTCCTCCTCCTCCTCCTCCTGGTAGTCCTCCCCCTCCCCTCCTCCTCCTCCTCCTCCTCTTCCTGGTTCTTCCTGGTCGCCCTCGTTCTCGTCCTCCTCGTCTTGCTCGTCCTCCTCCTCGTGGTGTTCTCTCCTCCTCCTCCTCCTCCTCCTCCTCCTCCTCCTCCTCCTCCTCCTCCTCCTGGTGGTCCTCGTTCTCCTCCTCCTGGTGCTCTCCCCCCACCTCCTCCTCCTCGTCCTCCTCCTCCTCCTCCTCCTCGTCCTCCTCCTCCTCTTCCTCCTCCTCCTCCTCCTCCTCCTCCTCCTCCTCCTCCTCCTCCTCCTCCTCCTCCTGCAGTGAGTGAATGCAGTGGCACGATTGAATGCAGTGGACTGCAGTGTCACTAGCAATTCCTGAAGCGTCTGGCTATTCAAAATGTGGCCCGGGAATGGAGTTCTGGGAACTCGAAGACCAGGAAGTGGCCTACAGTTGGCTCCGGGCATCCAGAATGTGGCCCGGGAATGGAGTTCTGGGAACTCGAAGAGCACGAAGTGTGTGACTGTTGCATCCGGCCCTCCAGAATGTGGCCCGGGAATGGCGTTCTGGGATGTCGAAGAGCACGAAGTGTGTGACTGTTGCATCCGGTTATTCTAAATGTGGCCCGGGAATGGCGTTCTGGGATCTCGAAGAGCACGAAGTGTGTGACTGTTGCATCCGGGTATTCAGAATGTGGCCTGGGAATGGAGTTCTGGGAAGTCGAAGAGCACGAAGTGTGTGACTGTTGGTGAAAAACGAGCCCGGCACCCTGCCGCCCGGCAACTCCCCAACACCTGCCCGGACCCCCCTGTGGAGTGATCTGTGAGCTCTTTTGAGTCAACTAGAAACCTATCAGCCCGGACCCCCCTGTGGAGTGATCTGTGAGCTCTTTTGAGTCAACTAGAAACCTATCAGTCTTCGCTGTTAGGTAAATAGTCCCCAGACTATTTTTTTGATTTATTATTATTATTATCATTATTTTTTGGGGGGGAATTTTTATCTTCCGTCGAAAATCCCCCTGTAGGGGGACACGCCCGACTTAATGTTACCCCCGCGGAAGGAGGAGAAGCGACGCCACCACGAACACCAGCGGGTCCCTTCCGTCGAGGAGATCCCCACGACGCCTCTGTCGAGCTGGGACGTTGAGTGTGCCTCGAGCGGGGCGCCGCAGACTCAGGGGCAGCGTCAGGCTCAGGGGCGGATGCGCTCGACCTCCTCTGAGCTCTTGGCGTCGCATTCTTGCCACGCCCGGCGATTTCGCCCCATCTGGGGCCTCGGGACTCGGGACCCTCGCGGACAGATCCGGCATCGGATGATGCCAAAAAGAGCTGGTGTCTCGGGTTCGTGATTTTTGTTCGTCGCCCTGCCCCTCTTCGGGCCTCCGCGCGGTGGCTGCCGCCCGTGCCGGCAGCTGCCGTTGCCCCCCTTCGGGGGACGCCGCTTGGCGGTTCTTCCCCCAGTTTTGCTTCCCCCGTGCAGGAGCCTTTCCCGCCCGTGCGCCACTTGCTTGGATGCCGTGCGCCCGTGGCTTCGACGTGTCCCAAGCCGTGATGCCGTGCGCCGGCCTTGTGCGCTTCTCCACCGTCTCTGCTCGGCACCTCGCCCCTGCGGCCTGCAGTCTGGCTGCCCAGTGGCGCTGCGCCATCACTCCGTCTGCCGCTCTCCGCCCCGGGGCCGCCCTCGCACCTGCCGCAGCGCCAGTCGCACTGTGCCCCTGGCCCGCTGCCACGCGCCCACGCCGCTGCCTCCCCCCGCCTTGGCGCTCCGCCTGGTGTACCGGCCGCCTGCTGCTCCCCGTCCCCTCCACTTGCTGGGCCCCGCCCGCAGTGCGGCAGCAGGCCCCGCCCCTGGGTGCGTCGCGATGCCGCCCCGCGATTGCCGCCAGGGTTTGCCCTTCAGCCTGGCCGCCCCCGCGCACTCCCCGCGCTCTCGTTGCGTGAGAGTGCCTCCGCGCGCTTTTCCCAGCATTTCGCCCCGCGGAGCGGAGCGACGCGCTATCCGTTGGCAGGGCACGTCGCGTCGCCGGGGCCGCCGCCGCGACACGCTAAGCGAAAGCTCCCGACCGTAGGCTCGAGGCCAGTTATTACAATTCATAGTTGTATTCGTTCATGCATCAACTGATTTATGAATTTATGTATTCGTTTACTATTATTGGAACTATTATTATCCGGTGGCGCTGCCGCGCAGTTCTGCCACCGCGCTCGGGCGGGCGCCCAAGGGCGGGGAGGGGTGTGCGCGGGGGGGGGATGATCCCGTACACGTCCCCCCCCCATCTTGGGCTCGATGCGCCCGGGGGCCCCAACGATTGCTTCGCAAGGAGCGCGAGAGCCCGACACACACCTACCGCTGCAAGCGCAGTGGCGGATTACCCCCCCGACGATGCCCCCGTGACCGCCGACGTGGGCAAGGCGACGGCTGCGGCGGCGGCGATGGCGTGGCCCCCCCTCCGGCCCCCGCCGGAGCGGAGGTCACCACTGGGCCTCTCGGCATGGGCGTCTCCAACGCCGTGGGGCTCGCGTGCGCCGAAAGGCCTCTGTTCCAGCCGGGGAGGAGACTGGGGGGGAGGACGGGCAGGATGAGTTTCGGGCGGGGCTGGGACACCGATCGGCGACTGCATTGGGTGTGGTTATTGGGCGGTGAAGGAGGGGGGGACATGAGAAGGAGAAGGCGTTCTCAGAAGGCGGCGGCACTTCCCAGAAACCATCGCGCGTTCTGAGAGGTTTTTTGCTTCTTCGGGAAGGCTTAGGACACTTCTCAGAAGGCCAGGAGACTTCCTAGTCGTCTGAGAAGGTCCGCCCGTTCGCACTTCCCCCCGGCTCGCCGCCGAGTTTCGCCAGGGCGTGGTCTGCGATCTGCGTCGTTGGGGCCTTGGGGGCACCACGTTGCCGTCGTCGGGCCTCCTAGGGTCGCGGCGGACAGCTCTGTCGAGGTCATCGCCCGCCCCCCAGGGTGCACGTTGCAATCCACACCCTCTGCAAACCACACCCTTTGGAGGATCGGCGGTGAAATCCGAACCCTTCTCTTGCGCTGGCCACTCCTTGCGCTGGGCAAAAGGCGTTGGTGGGTCCCCCCCCCTGACCCCCGATGGGGGTCAACGTCAACCTGTCCGCGCCCGCGGGCCGGTGGTCTAGTTTTTGCGGCGGGTGGCGTGGGCCGGCTGGGGTCGACGTCGTGCGGCAGTGTTTGCCCGCGACGGGGGTCGATTTGAGGGCTGTCGGCGGGGGCCACCGCGCGGAGTACCAAACGCCGAATGTTGCCTTCGCCAATCCACGATTCCGGCAGCTCGATGGGCGGCGGGGGTAGGGTTTGGAATCCGTCGAAGACGTGGCGACATCCGAACCCTACCCCCACCTCCCATGGATTCATGACAATCGATCGTTGTCGAAGAACGAATGGCATAAATATAAGCTTTTGGCGGTCCGCAGCCCTTTGCGGCGGAGGAGGGGGATAATGATTCTGATGATGATGCTGCTGCTGATGATGATGATTCTGATTATGATGATGCTGTTGTTGTTGTTGATGATGATGATGATGATGATGATGATGATGATGATGGCAATGATTCTGATGATGATGATGATGATGATGATGATGATGATGCTGATGCTGATTCTGCTGATGATGATGATGAGGAGGAGGAGGGACACGAGAAGGAGGAGGAGGGGCACGAGGAGGAGGAGGAAGAAGAAGGGGCGCAGGGTGTGTGAGTGATCTGATCGAGGGAGTGTGAGTGAGTGTGGAAGTGATGATGATGACGATGCTGATGATTATGATGATGATCATGATCAAAATGATGATGAGGCTGATGATGATCATGATGATGATGATGTGGTGGTGATGGTGGTGGTGATGATGCTGATGATGACGCCGATGATGATGCTGATTGTGATGACGATGCTGATGGTGATTGTGATGATGAGTATGATGATGACGATGATGATGATGATGATGATGATGATGATGATGATGATGATGATGATGATGATGATGATGACGATGATGTTAGTGCTGCTGCTGCTGCTGCTGCTGATGATGATGATGATGATGATGATGATGATGATGATGATGATGATGATGATGATGATGTAAGTAAGGGTGTGAATGTGTGAGTGAGAAGAGAGGCGGTTGTTCCTGCGCGGGGTGTCCAGAGGAAATGAGTGAGTGAGTGAATGTGTAAGTGATGATGAGTGAGTGAGTGAGTGTGGGTGTAAGAGTGGGTGAGTGACAAAGAGAGGGAGGAGGAGAGGCCCTGCGCGGGGGGTGTGCACAGAAGACAAGATCCCCACTTAGGATGTGGGGAACATGCAGATCCTGCACAACGTACGTTGCTGCATTATGTTCACAGTTTCTATCGAGATCCGCTTGTAGGAGGACATGCCCGACTAACATTTTGGGGGGAAAGTCAGGTGCAGATCCACAGGTAAATCCAGATATATGCAGATATCTCCAGGGAAGTGGGAGCAAATCGTGGCCGCTCCAGCGAGAGTCGAGGGACGGAAGAAGTCGTTAAGTACTTAGCGGTTTAGAGGAGGGACAGATGCTGATATTGCTTCCGTGGCCTCGCTTTCACCTCTTTGGGTCTCCTCGGAGGCCTCCGTCGCCACCGCTGGATTCTCTGTGATATTCTGCTCAGATCGCACCCCGGGAGGTCCGGGCAGTAGCGGTATCAGATCTTGTGGTCTGCCCAAGTGCGGCCTGGCTGCGTCCCGTCGAGCCACGGGGTCGCCCCTGATCTGTGGGGGGCAATGCCCCCTCGCTGCTGGTCAGCGCGAAGCCTGAGCGTTGCATTGGGCGCGCTCGGGCGCTTGCGCACCCGAGACGCCCCTGCAGGGAGGGATGGGGGCTGGTTGTTTGTGACTAACTAGCAAGTGTTGTGTCATTTGTCAGCCCCTGTGTGGGTCCCGAACCTTCAAACGTCCCGGGTGGCTGAATTTTTGGTTCGGTTGTTCTGACTGTGCCAACGATGTCCGCTTGCTTGAGTTGCCCAAGAAATTGCACTTGTCTTGCAAACGTCAAAGCAGTGGAAGTTTCATCGCCCTCCAGCCAACGGGGCTGCGGTCGGTCTCCAAAGTTTCGGGTCACGCTTTGTATGACCCAGATATGAGGGAGATTGAGCATTTCCCTTAGTTCGGTAACGGTTCGGCCAGATTGCTTACCAAAGCTGCCACCATCCGTCACCCCAGTCCGTCTCGTTGAGCTGTGTGAGATTCGGGATGGCCATCTCATTATGTCTTAGCATGCGTGCACACTTGCAGCCATCCTCCTTCCGTTACGGCCGCCTCTCGACCTCTCGGAAGCGACTCTGCTCAACGATTCCAGGAGCGATGGGACGACAACGATCGGCCACGCCTGGGTGTGGGTCGGCAAACATTGGCCAGTGTGAGAGATGTTTTCGTGGGGTCCACGACCTCGGACATACCCCCCTTGGGCATCTGCCGCGGAGGTTCAGGTGTCGCTCCTCAGCTCCAGGGATTGGGACATAAGATGTTCTGCCTGGAAACGAGTGGCCGTTCTTGAGTTTTGTTTGTGCCCGCTGCACGTTTCGCACGAGCTGCTGGCAGGTGCGAGGGCTCAAAGCGGTATGCGCGCCGCCCGCCCCAGGCCCGAGAGAATGGAGCAGGGTGTACCCCAAGACCCGCGTTGAACAACGACCCGCTGTTCTCCCTCCGTCTTCATTCTCCTTTGCCCTTCCTCCCCGTCCTCGTCATCGTCCGTCGCCGTTGCCGTCGTCGTCCTCCTCGTCGTCGTCGTCTTCTCCGTCGTCGTCCTCGTCTTCGTCCTCGTCCTCGTCCTCGTCCTCGTACTCCTCGTCGTGGCCTTCCTCGTCTTCGTTTTCGGCCTCGTGCTCGTCCTCCTTGTCGGTCCTTGTCGTTGCCTTCCTCGTCTTCGTTTTTGGCCTCGTGCTCGGCGTCCTTGTCGTTGTCTTCATCGTTGTCGTCTTCACCACTGTTCGTCGTCCTCATCACCGTCGCCGTCGTCGTCGTCGTCGCCGCCGCAGCCGCCGTCGTCGTCGTCGTGGCCGCCGTCGGCGTCGTCGTCGTCGTCGTTGTCGTCGTCGCCGTCGTCGTCACCGTCGTCGTCGTCGTCGTGGTCGTCGTCGTCGTTCTCGTCCCGCCCTCGCTCTCGCTGTCGTTGCCTTTCTCGGTGTCGTTGTCTTCGTCGTCGTCGTCGTCGTCGTCGTCGTCGACATCATCGTCGTCGTCGTCCTCCTCCTCCTCCTCCTCCTCCTCCTTCCCCTCGTCCTCTTCCTGGAAACGGCGCCCACGCAACGGCCCCCCCCAGCAACCGGAAAGCCCCTCCCCGTCGCCCGCTCACCGGCAAGGCTGCCACCCTGGGCGCGGGGCCCCCTTGGGCGCGTCGGGGGCCTCATGCGCTGGACGTTATCAAAAGCTTCTGAGAGGTTTCACGGGGAGCAAGGGAAGGAGGAGGGCGAGGGGGAGGGGGAGGAGGAGGAGGAGGAGGAGGAAAAGGAGGAGGAGAAGGAGGAGGAGGAGGAGGAAAAGGAGGAGGAGGAGGAGGAGGAGGAGGAGGAGGAGGAGGAGGGGAGGAGGAGCAGAAGCAGGAGGAGAAGAGGAGGAGGAGGAGGAGGAGGAGGAGGAGGAGGGAGGAGGAGGAGGAGGCGGAGGAGGAGGCGGAGGAGGAGGAGGAGGAGTTTGCCATTCCCCCCTGGTTACCTCATCCCTCCCTCCTTCCTCCCTCCTCCCTCTCTCCTCTCTCTCCCTCCCTTCCTCCTCCTCCTCCTCCTCTACCTCCTCCATCCCCAACTATCCTCCCCATTTCGGCGCGTTGGGCTTCGCCTTTGCAGAGGCACCTCGCCTCCGTGTACAACAAGCCTGGCATGGACCTGATCGACCACTACACTTACTGCATCATGGGCGATGGCTGCTGCCAGGACCCAGTAATAGGAAGAGGAGGAGGAGGAGAAGGAGGAGGAGGAGGATACTATCAATACTATCGTAAGCTATGAACAGGGGCATTAAGACTATGATCGTGTTTTAAAGGGGCATCTAAGAAGAATCTTGCTACGGAGCGCAACAAAGCTAGCAGTATTATTACACATACTGTTTTGAATTATCAGAGGACGAGGGAGAGGAGGAGGAGGGGGGAGTAGGAGGAGGAGGAGGAGGAGCGCGTCCTTCGAGGTGCTGGGCGTTCCAGCGCATGCAGGGACAGTAGGCATGTGGCCTCAGCAGCTAGGGCCGTCAGCGGCCGTTGGCTTCCCTGGGAGGAGGCGACTGGGTGGTTTTTGTGTCATCTGGCGGCCCCGTCGCGAGGGGCTTCTTGGAACCGCCCGTCGTCCAGGAGGGGGAAGTGCCAGCTGAGCGGCCAGACGAGCAACTCCGCGTCTCGCTCGCGGACAGGGTGCGGTTGCTGCTGTGCCCGCCTGCAAACACTGCAAGCTCCGCAGTGCTGAGGGGACCCTGTGCGGGGAAGCGCTCGACCCGGGCAGGCGGCACGCCCTGAAGTGCTCGTGCGGACCCTTACCCGAACAATGGCCACAACGGCCTCAGAGATTTGTGCTGGCTTCGACCACGGGACATCTGTGGCTTAGAAGGGACAGCGGGTCGCTGCTTGGGACTGGGGACAGGGAGAACCCGCGGACTGGGCAACTCTAGGATGCGTGGCTCGACGTCGCCTTCTTGCGTATTTCCAGGAATGCCTATTTTCCCCAATCAGAGCTTGCCTCTGTAGGGCTCCTGACGGAGTCATATGGTTAGGTGAGGTCAGGCGCCGATTTCGGCGGCAGGCCGGGGTGCCCGGGTGCCCCGGTGCCCGGGTGCCCGGGTGCCCGGGTGCCCGGGTGCCCGGGTGCCCGGGTGCTCGGGTGCTGGGGTGCCCGGGTGCCCAGGTGCCTGGGTGCCCGCGTGCCCTGTAGCCCTATAACCTATAACCCTATAGCCCTATAGCCCTATAGCCTTATAGCCCTATAGCCCCATAGCCCTATAGCCCTATAGACGTTATAGCCCTATAGACCTATAGCTTGGTAGCTTTATAGTGCTACAGCCCTATAGCCTTATAGCACTATAGCTCTACATGCCTATAACCCTGTAGCCTCACAGCCCCATAGCCCTAAACATAATATGTTTATGCTTCTCGGGTATCACATGTAAGTGTATATATATATATATACACACATGTATGTGTGCTCCCGACGGTTTAGTAAGTAGTGGTGCTCCTACGCATTATGCATGTGTTATGGTTGTTCGAACGGCAATCTTCATTGATATATCATATGGCCACGTGCATGGTGTTGGCAAGTCCTGAGACTGCGAACCTCCGCTTGGAGTCTACCACTTTCCGTGACATCCCACGCCTCTCTTTGGCCTGTCCGCGCTCTCCATTGAACACCAGAAGTTTCCAAGACGGCCCAGAGAGCGCCATGAGGGATCCAATCGGCCCCAAGACCGCAGGGCCGCTTATGAATGCACCCATATACGTTCCCAACGCAATTTCAGGCTGGCATGGCCCTGGGTTTCCAGTCTCGTTAAGTTCAGAGAGGATCTCACGATGCACTCACCGTGGGGTCAGTCTTGGAAATGACCCCAAGGCCCCTCAGAGGCTTCAAGATCCAATCAGACCCCAGGGCAACCTGAGGGATTCCAATCTGCTTCAAGAGGTTCCCAGGAGGGCCAGGCAACGCTCCTAGATATATTCACACAAGCCCGAAGAGCCCAAGGCAGCCCCGAAACGGCCAAGACAGCCCCAAAAGGCTATGGGCGTAGTGCTTTTGCTTCTTAAGCGTCTATTCAGCTGTAGGGGAGAAGCCTTGGAGTACTCTCGCTGTTTGTCTTCAATATTTTTGGATGTGGGTGTTGGTGTTTGATTACACAAGCTCTTGACGCTAAGCGTACCCGTGTCAGCCCATCCAACAATGATCACCAGGCGAGTTGCCCCGATCAGGAACGTCTTTTGGCCATCTGTTGGGGCCATCATTTGGCCCTCTTTGCGGCCCTCTTCACGCCATTCTGGAGGTTTGAGGGCTCTCTTGGGGCCTTTTTTGGGGCCCTCTTGAGGCTCTCTTGGGGCCCTCGTGGAGGCCATCCATCAAAAAAGGGGGGGACCAATCGCGCCCCCACTCCGAATGGGGGGATGACAACATTTACTCTTGGGGCCTTCTTGCGCTCTTGGAGTGATCTTGGGTGCTCTTGGGGCGGTGCTGGGTCCCCCTTGTGCCTGTCCTGGTGTTGTCTCGGGCCATCTTGGGGTCATCCTGACCATCGGACGATCATATCAACAACTGTTTGTTAGTCTTCCGTGTGGTTTTGGATAGGATATGGTTCATCGGAGAGGTCCTTGGGATGCTCCGTGGCTTCTTGGAATTGTTTTGGGGTTCCCAGAAGCATACTCGACGCCACCTTGAAAAATATGAGGTCATCCTGGGCTATTTGGAGCCCCCTTGGAGCCACCTAAGGCCATCTTGGGCCTTCCCACGACCTGCGAAGCGCCCCCTCCAGACGCAGGGGGGGGGGTTAGGGCGACACGTCAAGCTACCTCAAGCCGCAAGCCGTGTCGCTCACTCCCACCCGGCCTCCGACTGCATAAGTAGCACCCGAGTGTCAGCACAGGCTGGGGCCGCCATCGACAGCCATCGGGAACCAACGCAAACGCCAGCCAGGTGCGCGGTGCCCGCGAGGTGCGCCGCGCGTGCCAGATGCGCGCCACATCGGGTAATATGCTGGCCGCCCCACCATCCCCGTTAAAAACCAATGCACGATGGCGGCGGGTTTGCGAAGATGGTGTATCGTGTGTGGGTGTGCACCCGCAATCGCGCTGCATTTGTTTCGACAGGGGTAGTAGGTCTGCGCGCAGCAAGCAGTATGCCGCCCTCCCGCCGTCTCTTGCAAAGTGTTCTTTTCCCAGCCATCCTGTGGTGTTGGGTCCTAGTTTTGAAGAGAGAGCGCCCCACATCCCTCCTCTTCTTCCTTCCTCCTCCGAGTCCTCCCTCACCCTCCTTTCCTCTGCCCTATTCGTCGCCATCGTCGTCATCATCAGCATCATCCTCCTCCTCCTCCTCCTCCTCATCTTCATCGTCATCGTCATCGTCATCGTCATCCTCATTATCAGCATCATCTTCGTCACACATTCTTGACTCTGCGATCAGCTGCGACCCTGGAGGACCAACACCCACCATCCCCGTTGAGGCATTGCTCTCCGCAGGGACGGACCAGCACTCAGAGCAGCCCGAGGTCCGCGGTGAGGCTCCCACCCGTCCCTCGGCGCCATGACCTTCGAAGGACCCACCCAATATTTCACCTTTCTGGGCGGTGATCAGCTGCGACCCTGGAGGACCAACCACTTCCCCTATCCCACGGGTGCGGGGGCCTGACCGAGGAGAGGGGCGGCTTTCCCCCCGCCTCTCTCCTCGGGGGCCTGGCGCGTGTCCCCCGCTCTTGGCCCCGGGGACCGCCGACGTACTGTCCGACGTTGGTGGTGTCCCCCTCCTCCCTGGGCCGCCCACGCCCACCGCTGTACGTGGGCTGTTTTTTCTCCTTCAGCGGCTGTCAGCGGCGACCCCAGTGGACCACGTGGTGTTCGGTGACGTTCCAGGGGCCTGGGTGGAAGTGCCAGCGGCGGGCTTGGCCTGACTTTGCGTCCGACGGCCCTCTTGTCTTCCACTGTGCAGCCCCCCCCAGGCACACCGCCCTGAGACAACAGCACACCCCGCCCGTACCGGCGCCACTTGCCCCGTGAGGTGCAGCTCCACCTGTGCTCTTGGGGACCCACCCGCTCTGGTCCGGTTTGCCGTCACGGCACCACCACTTCCAGTGCGTTCATCTTTCTTTCCTCGCTGGCGATGCTCACCACGGCAGCGGGTCCCCCCCCACTCAGTGGCTTTGGCGTGCCGGCACGCGCTGGATGGCTCACAGTCGCTCGGTTACCCCCTGGCACTGTGACGTGGTCTGACTGGGGCTGGCCATGGTGCAGAGTGGTTCAGCCTTCCGCAGCAGGTTCAGTCCTACAGGCCCACCTTCAGCCTCCCTAGCTGCGTTGCACCACGGCTCACGACTGCTCAGCCTGTCTGGCTAGCTCAGGTCGTCCGCTCGGAGCCTGGCGCCACATTGGCGACTCACTCCACTGGCCATCGCGTCTTCAGCAAGCACGAAGGACTTGCACATCGTGGACCGCGTCCCCGCGTCCCCTCTGTGCGGGTCGTGCCTTGGCCGCTTGAATTCCGTGACATTTTGTCCACTGCGCGTGCCCGAGCTTGCAGTGCGCCCTGCAGTTCAGCTTCACCCGTCAGCCCGCAGCTGTCTGAGTGGGCCGGCCGGCCTGCGCCTGTCTTAGCTAATTCGCCTAGTTCGCGTCCTGGACTTTGCTGCTTTCGCCGCCTGACCGTTGTCTCGTGGCCGCGACCAAAAAAAAATCCCCACCAGCCCATCCAGAAACGATTTCCAGGTGAGTTGGTTAATCAGGGACGCCTGGAAGCACGCGGTCGCACATCCGTTTTGGAAGCGTCGTCCAAACTGGGTGGACAGTACCTTTGGGCCAGCAAACAAGGACCACACATAGCTTTTCGCAATGAAGTTTAGGAAAGAAATCCGTGCAAGATGCGCCATGGTGTTCCTTGTGGGAAACGTGTCTGGCGCAGGTTGCTGTATCTACGATCCGACGCCAGCGTTGCGCAGAGTAGAGTTGAATTTCGGTGGACATCCTGAGGCCTCATGAGCCCAACGGAGGCGAACACACGAAAAGGCAAAACACAATGGTTTTTAAATGATAGCTCGGAAAGCACTTGAAACCCTCTTGGGGCCGTCTTGAGGCCTCTTGGATGTGTGTCGGAGACTATCTTGAGCCATCTACCGCTATCTTTGGCCATCTTGGAGGTTTGCGCTCTCTAAGGCCCTCTCGGAACCATATTGGGTCAAAAAGGACTCTGCCACCTCGCGGGGAAACCCGTCCAGACCCACGGAGGGGGGGAGGTAAACCTCCCGGGCAGGGAAACGAAGGAGGTTGGAAAAGGAAACGCCCTAGACCCCGTGCGTCCAGAGGGTTGGTGGGATTTCCGCTCACCCCTCGCACGTTTCGCGGCCCCATAGCGAGTTCCACCGAAGTCCCCAGAGGCGGTGCCCACATGCGCCCGCGCCACCCATGTCGGCACACCCTTCGCACGCTTCGTGGCCCCAGGGATATCCACCGAAGGCCCCAGTGGCGGTGCCCACATGCGTTCCCGCCACCCATGTCGGCAAACCCCTGACACGCTTCGTTGCCCCATCGGAAGATCCACCGAAGGCCCCAGCGGCTGTACGCAGTACGGCGCTTCGTGGCCCCATAGGGAGTTCCACCGAAGGCCTCCGTGGCGGTGCCCAATTGCGTCCCGCGCCACCCAGTACGGCGGTTCGTGGCCCCATAGGGAGCTCCAGTGGCTGTGCCCACATGCGTCCCGCGCCACCCGATACGGCGCTTCGTGGTCCCATAGGTAGCCCCACCGAAGGTCCCAGTGGCTGTGCCCACATGCGTCCCGCGCCACCCAGTACGGCGTATCGTGACCCAATAGGTAGCCCCACGGAAGGCCCCAGCGGTTGTGCCCACATGCGTCCCGCTCCACCCAGTACGGCGTTCCGTGGCCCTTTAGGGAGCACGAATGAAGGCCCCAGTGGCGGTGCCCACATGCGTCCCGCGCCACCCGGTACTGCGCCTCGTGACCCCATGGGGGTCTTTTCCTGAAGCCCCAGCGTCTGTGCCCACATGCGTCCCGCGCCACCCAGTACGGCGTTTCGTGGCCCCATAGGGAGCTCCACCGAAGGCCCCTGTGGTTGTAACAACATGCGTCACGCGCCACACACCACGGCGCTTCGTGGCCTCATGGGCAGCTCCACCGACAGCCCCCAGTGGTTGTGATCACATTCGTCTCCCCCCGCTAATTTCGGCACGCCCCTCGCGTGTTTCGTGGCCCCATTCGGAACTCCACCGAAGGCCCCAGTAGCGACGTTCGCATGCGTCCCCCCCGCCCATTTCGGCATACCCCTCGCGCGCTTCGTGGCCCAATGGGGAACTCCACCGATTGCCCCAGTGGCGACGTTCGCATGGCGGCCCCGATCCATTGCTGCATACCCCTCGCACGTTTCGTGACCCCATATGGAGCGCCACCGAGAGCCCCAATGGTTGCGCCCGCATGTGTCCCCGTTCCATTACGGCACGCCTTTTTACACGCCTCGTGGCCCCATAAAGGATCCACCGAAGGGAAAGAGCGCGTTCTGTGGTCGCCTGAAGGGGGGGCTGGAACCAGACTTCCCCCGTGCATTACATGGAGGGGGAGGGGGTGGTCCGAACCACCCCCCTTCCCGTGACGGGGGGGGGGGTCCCACTCCCATGCCTCCCCCTACTTTTCCTCTCTCCCTTTCCTCGGGCCAGCGCCTGCGTCGGCGGCGTCTGGCGGCGGCGGCCGGGGCGACGACTTCTTTTTTGGGGCTGGCGCCGGTGCCTGCGGCGGGCGGCGGCGGCGGGGGGCAGGGATCTGCTCGAGGCTGGTCGGTGGAGCGCGGCGCCGCCCTCGGCCTGCCCGAAACTCGGCGGCCTCGCCGCGGGGCTGGGCTTGGACGCGGTGGGCAGGAGGAGGAGGAGGAGGAGGAGGAGGAGGAGGAGGGGGAGGAGGAGGAGGAGGAGGGGGGGGAGGAGGAGGAGGAGAGGAGGAGGAGGAGGAGGAGGAGGAGGAGGAGGAGGAGGAGGAGGAGGAGGAGGAGGAGGAGGAGGAGGAGGAGGAGGAGGAGGAGGAGGAGGAGGAGGAGGAGGGAGGAGGAGGAGGAGGAGGAGGAGGAGGAGCAGGAGGAGGAGGAGGAGGAGGAGGAGGAGGAGGGGGGGGAGGAGGAGGAGGAGGAGGAGGAGGAGGAGGAGGGGGGGGGGGGAGGAGGAGGGCTCCGACCCGACTCGATGCGATTTCGATCGGTTGTGGTTTCGGTTCGGCTCGACCTCGGGCTCCTTTTTCCTCAATGGAGAGGCTTCGCGGGCCTGCCGAGTGCCGCTGGTCCGACCTCTCTCCTGACCTGGCTGCCCGTTTCCGCTGGTCAGACTCGTCTCGATCGCCGATCCGATTGCTGTCGATTCGATTCTGGGCTCTTCTGCCCCCTCCTCCTCCTCCTCCTCCTCCTCCTCCTCCTTTTCCTCCCCCTCCTCCTCCCCCTCCGCCCCCTCCTCCCCTCCCCTCCCTCGGGGGGACCTCGCCGCCCCCGCGGCAGGATCGGGGAAACACGAGACTCGAGTACGCCGGGACTCGGGTTTGCAGACGCTTTCTGACGAGCGCGTCCTGGATTTGATCAGTTTTCGTGGGATGCCTGTGGCGGCGGGAACTCGTGTCAAATTTCAGCCTGGTTTCTTCACTTTCCTGACGGCCCCGTCAGGACAACCCGAGTCTCCCGAGCTTGAGGTTTCTTTTCCATCGAGGATGCAGGAAGCCTTAACCCTTCTGACACGATGAAGACTTGGCCTCACTGAGGTCCCCGTGCTTGCATTAGGAATCGTAATTCTGGGTGGCTTGGTTCGATGCATCTGTAGGAATGACCCCCGAAGTTGTGGGCCTCTTACCTTAGGTCCGTTCCCAGAGGATTAGGGGTATTCTTACTGCTTATCGTACGTCTCCCCGACAGGAGGGCATCTCGCACGAGTCCTGCGCCTACGCCGGCCACCTCGGGCTCGGCAAGGCGCCCCGCTGCCCCGCACACGGAGGACGGACGGACGGGCGAGCGGGTGGCAACGGCAAGCGCCCGCAGGCGGCGACGGCGGCGACGTTGGCGCTGGGTATCGTCTCGCCGATCCCCACCCCCACCCCCGTCCTGAGGAGGAGGTACCCATACTGTAACCTTTTCCTCGTGTTCCCCTTTTTGGGCCTCCTGGGAGGCCCTCGCCGTCACCGCTGGGTTCGCTTCGAAGTTCTGGTCAGAACGCATTCCAGGAGAGGTCCAGGGAGTAGCGGTCTCAGTACCTGCGGGTTTCCCACTCCCCATCCTGATCCCCGCCGTCACACCACCCCAGTTAGAGATGTGCCCCTCGAACCTCGAAGGGAGCAGCCTGTGGCCCCATGCAAAGGGGGGGGCAAGTCGGCCAGTGGGGCCCAGGCCACGCCCGTGAGGATGGGGATCGATGAAACGATGCTCAGGCGCGGGCCGGCTCGAGAGCGGGGGGAGCGGCATCCACGCAGCCAAGGCCAACGGGGGGGGGGCGATGAGCTCCGGGGGGAACGCATCGGCTCCTGGTCGCCCATTCCCATTCAACCCCGACAGGGGCCTGGCAGCCCAACCCGCGCAGGCACGTGCGGATTCACCATCGAGGGCCTGGCGCCGATCTGTCGGCGATGCATCGCCGATTCCAGGTGGATGTTTTCCTCCCCTCAGCGGGTCCTGTCGTTCCCCCTCGCGCAAGGCGGGCCGACGGTGCCCGCCGCCGTCACGCAGCGGCGGCGCCACCGCGGGCGTTCCAAGGTTGAGCGCCCTCCGGCGGAGGGGCGGTCGTGGGGACGCGCGTGCCGGGACCGCCTGCCGGGCGCGCGCCTTGATCGCACGCCTTGCGCGGGCGTTCGAGGCGCGCACCGTGCCGGGTTTTTGGTTCGGGCCCCGGAGCGCATTGCGAGTGCCCCCCCCGACACGTTTTCGGTGCGAAGGACGGGGTCGATGGCACTCGGTCCCCCCTGGCAAGCGCAGGCGGTCTGAGGCACAGCGATGGCAGCAGAAACGAGGATGAGTACGACGATGCTGGCGGTGAACGTGGCAATGGCGAAGATTCTAACCGGTTCTGTGCATGTTTTATTGAAGACGCGTGTTCTGCTAAGGAGGTCTCACTGGTCTGGGCGAAGACTGGCTTGCGGAGCACCCCTGGTGGACGCCCGAGTGGGATGCCGGGTTGTGATGCTTGCTGCTTCGCGGCGGTCATCATGCAGTAGTTCTTCTCCATGTGCCCGAACGGGCGTTTTACCTGACAGGTCCCATCAATCTAGATACAAATGGCCCGTACAATACCCCTGGACGACCCCCCTTTGAGAGGTTTTGATGCTATGCCTGCTCTCTCGCGATTATGAGTCTGTGAAGTGTAACACTTCTACGTCCCCGATCGGGCGTTTTACCAAAGAGGTCCGCTAATCTGGGCGCCAGTTGTCCCGTATAATACTCTTGGTCGACACCTCCCTGAGAGGCCCATGTGCGATGCCTGCCACCTCGTGGCGATCACGAGGCTGTGAACGCGTCTTCTTCCCCAAACGGGCATCCTACCTGAAAGGTTCCACAAGCGATGTGCCCCGTGGTTGCGGTGCCTGATGCATCGATGTGATCGTGAGAGTCTGAGTATGAGTTTCTTGGAGTATGTCTGAATCAGGGTATGAGTGAGGATCGATGTGTCCGAGCACGAATGACGGAGTACGAGCGAGACTGAGTATGGGTTAATGTGAGTATGAGTGACTGAATATGTGTGGATTTGGGTATGAGCAGGTCAGAGTAGGGGAGTGAGCTTGAGCAGGATTGGGTATGATTGATAGGGAGTATAAGTGACCGCGAGCGGGTTGAACGAGTGAGTCTTAGTACCGAGTGACTGCGCACCAAAGAAGGGGGATGCGGGAGGAGGAAGAGAAGGATGATGATGATGATGCTGATGATGATGATGCTGCTGCTGATGATGATGATGGTGATGATGATGATGGTGATGGTAATGGTGATGGTGATGATGATGATGATGATGATGATGATGGTGGTGGTGGTGATGATGATGATGATGATGCTGATGATGATGATGCTGCTGCTGCTGATGATGATGATGATGATGATGACGATGACGATGACGATGATGATGATGATGATGATGATGATGATGATGATGACGACGATGATGATGATGATGATGATGATGATGATGATGATGATGATGATGATGATGATGATGATGATGATGATGATGATGATGATGATGATGATGATGATGATGATGATGATGATGATGATGATGATGATGATGATGATGATGAGGAGGAGGAGGAGGAGGAGGAGGAGGAGGAGCGGAGGAGGCGGATGCGCGACACTGGCGACCAGAGCCCGATCTCCTCATGCGGGGGCCTGCAGGACGGAGCAGTGCCAGGCCCCCGTCGACTGCACCCGCCGATGCAGCACCCTCTTTTGCTCCCCGCTCTGTCGCTCTTTCGCTCCTGCTCCCTCCTCCGCCTCCTTCTCCTCCTCCTCCTGCCCTCCTGCCCCGTCTCCTCCCCATCCCTGCCGCTGCTGCCGCCCCCTGCTCCTTCCTGCTCCTGCTCCCCCCGTCTCCCCTCGCGCTCCTCCCTCCTCCTCCGCCCCCGCGTTCCCCCCCCTCAGCTCATCGTCTTCTACGACGACAACGGCATCACCATCGACGGCCACACCGAGCTGTCGTTCACCGAGGACGTGGGCAAGCGCTACGAGGCCTACGGCTGGCAGGCGGGCGGCCGCCAGCAGCAGCAGGAGGAGGAGGAGGAGGGGGAGGAGGGGGGAGGAGGAGGGCCAGCCCACTCCGGGCGACAAAAGGTGATTGCAAAACGTCATTGCCTCCAGCGAGATGTGTGCCTTCGTCCAGCGAGTAGTTTTTGCTGCTGCCGCTGCTGCCACTGCTTCCGCTGCTGCTTCTCCTCCCCTCCTCCTCCTCCTCCTCCTTTACCTCCACAATTGCACACTATGAATGCTACTCTCCTCTCCAGTCTGATGACGTCCGGAAGACGTTCGGCCCCTCAGCGCGCATTGTTGCTTACAGCAGGATTCCTGGGAAACGGGTTTGCTGTTCCCGCTGAAGCGCTTGCCCCATTTCTGCGCCTCTGGTTGTTCCAATTCGTGATCCCGTTGCAGCGCGGGCATTTTCGGCCCTTCGAACTAGGCCGCAACATCGAGAAAATGCCCTCCCCCCGCCCTCGAAAGAACAATCAGAAGTGATTCCACATTCGGTGGCGATTCGTTGATTTTGGGAAGCCCCACTTTTGGGTGTCGTCGCTTGCAGGAAATATAAAGCGGGAGTCTCGTTTCTTGTTTCTGTTTTGGGAAGTTGATGTTAAAAGCAGAGGCAGCGGGCGCTCTCCATCAGCCCCGCCTTGTGTGGAATGTCTCGGGGAACCCAAGGGGCTAGACATGGTGTCACGACTCCAGACCAGCCCAAACCTCTCGAAGCCGATCCACTTACCCTCCAAGGGACCAGGCGCCATACCATGACATGCTGTGCGGTGTTGTGTTCTGCGCCGTTGTGCGATGCCATGTACTGCGTTGCAATATTTTGTGATGCAGTGCTTCACTGCGCAATGCCACGCCATGCTATGGCATGCTGCGCTTTGCTGTGCTCTTCTGCGCCATGCCTTGCCGTGCTCTAGCATGCATCGCACCCTCTCGCGATCATTACTCTGCTCGACATCCGAATGCGCGAATAGAGATGATATCAACGTCATGGTAAGGGATGGGGGGGAGGGGTAGGACGTCAGATATGACGTGAGCGCACCTAGCTTGTCCTCCTCCCCCTCCTCCTCCTCCCCCCCCTCCTCCTGCTCCTCCTCCTCTTTTTGCCTTCGCGGGCCGCCGCGCAGCGACTAGCCGGTCGGAGCCTCAGGCGAGCTGGCAGGGCAGGGTCGGTGGCCGGGGCGGCCGAGGCCGGGGCCGGGAGGGGAGGGGGGGGCAAACCGCAGTCCCCCAGGAGCGCAACACGAAAAAAAAAACGGGAGGAGGCCAGCCAAGGGGAGGGGCCCAACGCCAGGAAGGAGCCAGCACGAGGCCGCCTGGGCGGCAGCCAACAGGGAGGAGGAAGGGACGGAGCCACACGAACGCGAACGCAGCGAACGAGGACAGCAAGGGCGACAGCACAAGACAACGCGACAGCCGACCACGACACGAGCGCGCCCGAACCGAGCGACATCCCGAAACCCAGACACCGCAGCACGGCCCAACGACCGCAACGCTCCTCCTCTTCCTCCTCCTCCTCCTCCTCCTCTTCCTCCTCCTCCTCCTCCTCCTCCTCCTCCTCTTCCTCCTCCTCCTCCTCCTCCTCCTCCTCCTCCTCCTCCTCCTCCCCCTCTTCCTCCTCCTCCTCCTCCTCCTGCTGCTGCTGCTGCTGCTCCTCCCTCTCGTCCTCCTCCTCCTCCTCCTCCTCCTCCTCCTCCTCCTCGCCCACTGCTCATTTCCCGCCTCCCCCAGTCCTCGTCCTCCCGCCGTGCCCCTCGTGCCTGGTGCTCCTCGTCCTCGTCCTGCCCTTTTCCGAAAGGCGACGCGTGGGCCACAGGGGCCACTGGCGGCGGCTCCTCGGGCCCACACCCTTTCGGTTCGAGCCTCCCCCTCGGTCCCTCGCCCTTCGGTACTCTCTGGCGGCCCTCGCCCCTTCGGCCCCTCGTTCCCTTCGGCTCCCTCCCTCGGCCCCACGGCGGCGAGGTGCTGACCGTGGAGGACGGCAACACCGACGTGGACGGCATCCGCGCGGCGCCCAGCTTTTGGGTGCGGCCAGTGCGCGGCCGTGCGCCAGGAGTTCCTATTCCATCCGAGGACGTATTGTCGCATCGTTCAAGGTCATCTGGGCGCGCCCGATAGCCGTCGATTCGGCGGCCGGGGCCTCCTACTCCCCTGCTCCTCCTTATCCCTCTACTCGTCCTTCTCCTCCTCCTCCTCCTCCTCCTCCTCCTCCTGCTCCTCCTCCTCTTCCTCCTCCTCCTCCGCGGTCGCTCTACGGTTTTTTTCGCCCGCTCTGGTGCGCCCAGTCGCCTGCGTGGCGTCGGCTCTGCAGTCGCGCTCGCGTCCGCCAGCGATGCGAACACAAATGTATTGCCGCATCTTTGCTTTCGGGTTTACTCAGGTCCCCCTTCCGATTTCTCGTGGGCTCTCCTGGAGCACTCTGTGGCGGCCAAGGGGACCCTTTGGGGGCAATCTTGGAGGACATCGATCGGAACATGGGGGGCCGAATTCAAGCTGTCCCTCAACTCTTTTCTCGAGTCCGAACAAGTGTCACTGGTAGTTTTTCTTGGATGTTCTTGAGTGTTCTTGCGGCCATCTTTGGATCCATCTGGGCCCCTCTTGAGATTCATTGGCTGACGCCGCACCGCCGACCCCTTGGGGCGGCAGTAAGAGTGAAATACGGAGTTTGCAGAACGATTTCTGAGGAATCTTGGCGTTTCGGCTTCTTGGAATTTCTTCGGGGGCGGTTGGTGGATCGCGGCTCTGCTTTTGGGCTTCTCTGGGCTCTCCTGGCAGCACTTTTGAGGCCTCTTGGGAGCCGTTTTGAGGCCTCTGGGAGCCTCTTTTGGGCCTTTCGGGGGCCTCGTGGGAGCCTCTTTGGGGGCCTCTTGGGGCCTCCTCAGGTTTTTGTGGGGCCGAGTGCTCGAAATGTTCATTCGGGTTCCCCCTCTGGGCCTCCTCTTGGGGCCGTCCTGCGGCCCTCCTGGGTCGTTTTGGAAGCTTCTGGGGCCCTCTTGAGCCGTCTTGGAGCTCTCTTGGGGGCCTCTTGGGCTATCTTGGGTCGATCTTAAAGGCTTCTTGGGCCGTTGTGGGCCTCGTGACAGCGCAAGAGGCGAATGTGCTAAAATTATACGTTTTCCCTCGGGAATGGGACGAGCTTTGCATCTGGAGGGCCTCTTGGGACGCCTCTCGGTGGCTTCTTGGGGCGTCTTGGGGGCCTCTGGGACCGTCTGGAGGCAATCTTGGGCGTCTTGGAGCGGCCTTTCGGCGTCCCAAGAGGCCCTCTTGGTGGCTTCCTGGGGCGTCTTGGAGGCAATCCTGGCAATCTTGGGCGTCTTGGGCGACTCGTAGCCCTCTTGGACCATCCGGGGGGGCCTTTTGGGGCCTCTTGGCACGTTTTTGGCCCCCTGAGGCTCCAAGGGTGCGGCCGACGACACCTTTGCCCCCCCCCCCCTCCAATCCGGCCGGACCGGGCTCCCGGGGGAGGGGTTTGTGGAGGGGGAACCATCTCACACGCCGTGACCCCAAGGGGTCGGCGGATTGTCTTGGGCAGTATGCAAGAGGCCTATGCCATTCCGCCGACCTCCAGAAAAGGCGTGGAGTCCTCGGTTGAGTCGTCGTGGGTTTCTTGGGCACTGTGTGGGGATTCTTGTGGGCGTCTTGGGAGCTGTATGGGGGCCTGGCGGAGCCTCGTTACGGGAGCTTTGAAGCGTGTTGGGGTCCAGCCTCTTTTTCCCCCTCTTGGGGGGCTCGTGGGGCTCATTGGGGGCCTCTTTAAGGCCGCTTGGGGGCTTCTTGGGGCCTTTGGGGGGCCTCTTAGGGTGGAGAGATAGAAATTTCGATTCTTGTTCTGACTCTTCGCCTCTCTTGGGACCCTCTGGGGGCGATCTTTGGCCGTCTTGGGCCCTTCTTTAGACCGTCTTGGAACCCTCTTGGGCCGTCCTGGGGCCCTCATATGGGCCTCTTGGGCAGTTCTGGGGTAGTCTACGGGGCCTCTTGAGCCGTCTTGGAGCGCCGGAAGCTCGAGAGGACGATGTCCCCAGAAACAATGAAACACACAATAACAACCATTCATTGTTGCCTTTCGGAGCCCTTCGGGGAAGGCTCTTGGGGTGTCTCGAAGGCGTCTTGGGGCGTCATGGAGCCATCGTAGGCGTCTTGGCCCAATCGTTCCGCGATTCGGGGCCGCCTTGGGACGTCTTTGAAGCCACGGCAAGCAGACTCAGAAGCTCTGGAGTCTCCGGGTGTGCGCCGAGGACCCCGCATTCAGAACGGGAGTTGAGGCCCCGGGGAAGGGGTAAAGGATGATGGGGACGGCCAGTCGTCTCACACGCCTTTTCACCCCCCTTAAGCGTGGGTCGGCGGATCTGAGCCGTCGAAGCTCATTGAGAAACGAAAGAGGCCATGACGCAAAACTCATTGAACAGCTTTAGGGTCTTGAGTAAATGGTCTTCCCCATCTCACCGCCACTACCGCCATTTGTCCTTTCAGCTTATGCACCCCTTCACCTCACCATGCAATGGCGAGCGCCTGATCGAGTCTGCCCAGCAAGCCCATGTGTCATCCATGCATGCCCTCGCGCTCCTTTCGAAATATGAGTTTCTTGGCAGCCTGCCCAGGCCATCTTGGGGCCCTGGTAGCACATTTTCGGAGGCCTTGACATGGGGGGCCTGTTGGGGCCTTTCGGGGTCTCCTTGGGGGCCCTGTGGGTCCTCTTGGGGCCATCCTGGAAGAGCTCGACCAGAGAAGGGGAGGTCGTGAACTGGCGTTGCTCTTTAACGCCGCGAGAGTCGCGTTTGGGGCCCTCTTGGAGAGTTCCTGGGCGCTTTTGGGGCCGTCTTGGGCCCTCTTGGGCCCTGCCTGGGCCTCTCTTGGGCCTTCTTGGAATTACATGCGAACTTCAGGAGCCCATCGGAAGCGAAAAGGCGATAAGACAAGCCGCCCTTCTTCCCCACAGGTTTTTGGCGGGATTGGGTTTTTCGTTGGCCTCGGCCAGGGCGGGCTTAATTGGGGATGTGCCGGGGCCTTTTGGACGGTGGCTATCTTGAGAAACTTTGGGGTATTTGGAGCTACATTCGGACCGAGGTAAAAACTCTAGATCGGTTCGGGGAGGACACCCTAAGTTACTTTTTGTTTGTTGGATATTCTTGTGAATTCAGAGAAGGGTACTCCTGGATGTTCTGTGCGTTTTGACAGGCGGAGGCCTGCGTGTTCTTGAAACATGTCCTTCTGGCTCAGAACCGATTTTATTTCGAGCGACCTTGGAGGCCATCTTGGGTTTTCTGAGGCCGTCTTAGAGCCATGCTGGCGCAAAAGCTTCCCAGGGATGCCCCTGAGATGTGGATGGTTTTGGGTTTTGAGCGAGCGTGGGGTCCTCAATTAGCTCTGCCCCACTTGAGTCCCAGAGGTCTCGTCTTGCGGCCTTTGTGGGGCGTTCTTGGTGCCGTCATGGGGCCATCTTGGGCTCTTGTTTGGGCTCTTTTGGGCCCTCGGGCGCTTACCTTGAGGCCTCAAGAGCCCGTAGGTAGCGAGAAGGCGGGAAAACCCAACACATGGTTCTTTGTAGGTTTTAGAAGGGTTTTGGCCTCCAGGAGGGCTTCCTTCGGAGGTTCCGTGGCCACGTCGACCCGATTTGGTGTGGTCCCAGGTCCTTCTAGAGGATGTTGGAAGCCATTTTGGGCAATTTTGCGTTATCTTGAGCAATATTGGAGACCATCTTGGATTTTCTTGGGCCTTCTTGGAGCCATCTTGCGCCATTTTGGACGTTTTGACGATCCGCAGCACCGTTCGTCCAGGCCCAAGGGTAGGGGCAGGATGAGTGTGCAAGACACCCACCCGCCACACAACCAGCCGCGAAATGTTTGGTTCATTCCTACCCGCCCTCCCAACACAGAAGTATCACCCGAGTCTCAGCATATCGCCTAGGAGCGCCACGCATGCTATGTGCGCCACGGGTTCCAGATGCACCAGATACTCCGGAGGCCCAGGCGTGCCAGACGCACCAGGTGCGCCACGTGTTCCACGTGCGCCGAGTATGCCACGTGCTCCAGCCGCACGCAGAATGGACCAGATGCGCCATTGAACTGCCGCAGCAAACAATATGCTGGCACCCCCGTCGCCCCTGTCAAAAACAAGTGCAAAATGGTTGCGGGGCGCTTGCACATGCTCCAGATTTGGAGGCAAGTGTATTTGCATGGTTTTTGATAGGGATGGTGGGTGCGGTGCTCATGGGTCTGGGTTGGCTTCTGGTCGGGTGGGGGAGGGTGTGTGCGGGTGTGTGTGTGTGTCTATCCAAAGAACCAGTAACCATTTCTCCTGAACGGAAACTGACTGGCTCACTACCACCCGCCCTCCCAACACTTGTTGTCGGCGGCGAGGCAGAGTTGGCTGCACCAGCGACAGATCCAGACGAGGGCACCGAGAAGCGAAATGGCCAGCGTACGAGAGCGGGGAGAGGACAGACGAGGCGGCCGCGGAGGGGGGGAAGAAGAGGCCACTCAGAGGTGGAAGGGTTCTCACACGAGTGTGCTGGCGCGGCCAGCACCGTCAGCGGGATCCATGGCAGCTGCCAGGCCGCGGCGGCGGGGCACCCACGGGCGATGACGGGGCCCAGGGCGTGTAGAGCAAGTACTGCAGTGACGCTCCCGATGAAATAGGCGAGATACTTGGACGACAGAGGGCCGCAAGGCCGCCCAGGTGGGTGGCACGTTACAAGGCGCGGCAAGTTCGCGAGCAGTCTAGGTTTGGACGGCAGCCAGCAAAATGCTGGGCCCGTGGAGCGGAACGGGCGGCAAGACCAAATCCAGGTGCCCAACCACACGGGGCGGCTGCAAGCTGCGGCAGCCTCGCGAGCGCCATGGCGGCGCGCGGAGGGAGGGGGGGAAAAGAGGGCGGCGGGGAGGGGAAGAGAGGACGAGGAGGAGGAAGGCCCCCCCTGTGGGGGGTTCCCCCGCAGGCGGGGCGACCGCGCCGGCGCCGACGCCCGCCTGGGCGGTAGGCAGGCGGCCCGCGCGCTGTGCCGTTGCAAATATCTGAGCGTTGCGCCGGGTGGCGGGCCAGGGTAGTTGTAGCAAGCCCTGAGCTGCCCAGCAGGGCTGCGGAACGGGCGAACGATGCTGAAACTGTTCAAAATAAGTGGCCGAGGCCGTAGGGACCCGCGCGCTGCTGGGGTGGACAGCACGCAGCCAGTGCACCTAGTCGGTGCGAAATCAGGTATGCAAAGGAACCAGTGAATGGCAAGGAGCCACGAGCTGCTGGGGTGGTTGGCGAGTGGCGTCTGGGGCCGCCGGGATTCAGATGGCGATTAGGGGGCTGCATTGATGCGGCTGGGCGCCCCGCGCTGTCTCCCAACATAAAATTCAGTAATGCCCGAGTTTCAGCATATTCAGCGGTCGTCTTGGGATGGGCATCTATACCGGGAAACAGCACAGACCCCAGGAAGGCGAGGTGCGCCACGCGTGCCACGCACGCCTGGTGCGGTAGATGCGCCAAGTGCTCCACGCGCGCCAAGCGTGCCGCAGGCTCCAGCCGCGCCAGGTGCACCACGTTCGGGGCACACGCAGAGTGTGTCAGGTGCGCCTGGGCACATCGGGGAACATGTCGGCCCCCACCTTTATTGTCCATTCCAATGCACAAACGCGGCAGAGTGGCAACCATGATGTCTGGTGGGCCTGCACACAGCAGGCAATATGCCAGCAACCCCGCCGTCTTTGCCAAAGACAAATTCGAAGTGATCTTGGGTGTCCGTGCATGATCCAACTTTCGCCGCGAAGTTCAGCTTGCATGGCGTTTTGATCTGGATGGTGGCCCTGCGCACAGGAGGCCATTTGCTGGCACCCCTGGCTTCCCTGCCAGAAAGAAAACAATTTGCTCGCAGCCCACCCCACATGACCCAAGATTTTGTCGCAAGGTGGATTTTGAGTTGATGGTTGACAGGGGTGGCGGGGGGGTGGGTGCCCGCATGATCCTGGGTTTGTCGCCGGTCGGGTGGGGGAGGGGGAGAATCCAAATATGGAACAATGATCAAGCACCCCCCCCCGGAAGGGCCGCCGTCTCGCTCACTCCCTCCCGTCGTTCCAACACATAGGCAGCACCCGAGCGGAAGGTTTAAATCCCAATGAATCCATGAGGTGGGATCCCCCTTCACGCGAAGTGCCAAGCATTCAGCGAGAACGGTGGCTTCCACGAGGAGCGCAAAGCACTGGCACGTATGATAGAACGTGTTTTCACTGGTATCGCGCGCCCGCGTCATCATCATCATCATCACCATCATCATCACCATAATCATCTTCGTCGCTGTCATCATCATCACCATCATAATCAGCATCATCACCATCATCTTCATCACCATCGTCAGATTCATCATCATCATCATCTTCATCCTCATCTTCATCTTCACCTTCATCTTCGTCGTCGTCATCATCATCCTCATCCTCATCCTCATCCTCCTCTATCTCTCATTACCATCCTTATCATCGGCACCGTCATCATCTCGTCATCATCATCCTCATCATCATCATCATGATCACTATCCTCCTTATCGTCCTCACCGCCATCATCATCACCACCATCATCATCATCATCATCATCATCATCATCATCATCATCATCATCATCATCATCATAATCGTCATCATCAGGAGCCGATGCTTGTCCCGATGGTGGCCGCCAGCGATACCACACTTGGTTACACGATAGGTCGCAGAAGTAGGATGCGCAGCAGCACGACAGAGTGTAACACTCTGACGCAGAAGTATACGGCGGAGCCGTTCCCCCCCTCTGTCCCTGGCAAAGTGCATTGTGTATTCTTTCTTGACTGGGATGGGTGGCCTGCAGAGATTCGAAGTGATCGCGGGGCGTCCGCGCATGATTGAGATTTGGATTCGAAGTATTGCGCGTAGAAGGCAATCTGAGAGCTCCCCCGCTGACCCTGTCAAGAACCACTGCAACGTTATCGCGAAGCGCCCGTGTTTGATCCTGTATGCAATATCTCATGTGTATTGTTTTGGACAGGGATGGTGGGCCTGCATGCAGCTGGCAAGCTGCGGGCAACCCCTCCGTCGTTGACAAACAACCCAAGAATGCAAAGTGACCGCGGAGCGCGCGTGATCCAGATTTGGATGCACAGTGTATTTTTTCCCAAACAGAGCTTGCCTCTGTAGGGGTCCTAGCGCATTCATATGGTTAGGTTAGGTTTGTCGCCGATTTTCGCTGCACGCCCGGGTGCCCAGGTGCCCGGGCGTGCCCGGGGGTGCCTGGGGGTGCCCGGGGGTGCCCTACAGCCCTACAGCCCAATAGCCCAATAGCCCTATAGCCCTACAACTCTATAGCCCTATAGCTTTATAGCCCTATAGCTCAATACCCCTATAGTCCTATAGCCCTATGGCCCCTAGCCCTACAGCCCTGATTGGTTTTTTTCTCGGGTATCATGCTCCATTCAGAGCTTGCTTCTGTAGGGGTACTGGCGGATTCATATGGTTAGGTGAGGGGTTGGCGTCGACTTCGGCGGCACGCCCGGGTGCCCGGGTGCCCGGGTGCCCTGGTGCCCAGATGCCCAGGTGCCCAGTAGCCCTATAGCCTTCTAGCCCTATAGCCCTATAGCCCTATAGCCCTATAGTCCTATAGCCCTGTAGCCCTCATAGCCCTACAGCCCTATAGTCCTATAGCCCTACAGCCCTATAACTCTATAGACCTATAGCCTCATAGCCTTGTAGCCCTGTAGCCCTATAGCCCTAAAGCCCTATAGCCCTATAGCCCTATAGCCCTATAGCCCTAATAGCCCTATAGCCCTGTAGCCCTATAGCCCTATAGCCCTATAGCCCTAGGCCTATAGTCCTGTAGCCCTAGTAGCCCTATAGCCCTATAGCCCTCGGCTGCCAGCAGGCATGGCTCCAGCTCTGCAGACACCGTCTCAATTTGCACGGCTGTGCAATCATGCCTGTGGCAAGGACGCTCGAACACACTAGGGATAACTCCTTTCAAAAGGCATAGGCCTGCTTACTGACTGCAGCACGCGCTGTTGATGATCATGACTGCAGTAATCAGTAACTAGCGGTGCAGTCAGTAAATAGCGACGCTCCTGTTTCCCATCCCCACCTCATCTTCACCACACTGAATCATTATTGAGGCGGCGAACGCTCGTGCCAGACGTGGAAGGGGAACGTGAGGAGGTGGCCGCGGGCGAGGTCACCAGACGACAAGAGCGCTGTGCTAAGCAACGTAAGTTCGTTGATCATGACAACTACTGCGTTGACATGCTAAATAAAGTGAGCACGGCACTGGGTAACGCAATGCAAGATGGCCCTAAGGGGGCGGATGCCATCCGGGCGATCTCATCAAACGTGGGCGAATTTGTTCGCTATATGTGGACCGTGACCAACGCGGTCAGGGCAGACTGATCCATGCCTGAGCTGGGAGGTCAGCCGCAGCCATCCGGACTGGAGGCAGTACCAAAGTCACAACCAGCTCAGCCTCCGCCCGTCCTGCAAGCCTCCGCCCGTGATGCAAACTCGCCACCGAAGTGAGGATCCGCAGCAAGGGTGCGAACGTAGTTCACGACGGTAGGGCTCGCATGCCCCGCAACGGAACGGCTCATGATGAAGAACTGCACCAGGGGACGCCCCGGGGTCCAGGAGCCGTTTCCGTCAGGACTCGTTTCTTTCATTCGAGTAGGGGATCGGCTACAGAACCGATTTACCCCGGACTGTATTTTCCCGTCGAACCTATGAGCAACATGTGTAGGATAGTGAGTGGCTCTGCGAAGCACTCTATGTATGTTTCGTAGATTCGGCGGGAAATCATTTTTGGGGTGAATCGATCCTGCAGTCGATCTCCCACTCGATTCATAGCGCAGTCCGAAGGACAAGACATATCAGACGTGACTGGACTTCCGGAGGTCCGCGTGGACCTCTTCTGGGGTAAATGAATTCTGCAGTCGATCCCCTACTCGAATTTTGCCTGGTCGGACCCAGGCATGCGATGTCTCGATGTTGTGAATGCGGAGTCCCCGGACGCCCGCCACCCTCTTCCCCAGGGCCGCTTTTCGTCGCGAGTCGTCCTGGCCAGCCTCGGGGCCTGGCGACAGCCCCCTAGGGCGGCAACGGCCGAAACACGAGTGCGTTTGGGAGTGCGAGCTCGTCGACGGTCTCTGGCCCCGCTCGCGGCGCGGGCGCGGATCCGCCGAGGCAAGGCCATCGCTGCTGCGAAGGCGTGCGCCGACAAGCCGACGCTGATCAAGGCTGTGCGGGCTGCCCGGGGTCGGGAGGGCCATTCTCCTCTCCCCATCACTTCCCCTCCTCCTCCTCCTTTTCCTCCCTCTTCCTCCTCCTCCTCCTCCTCCTCCTCCTGCTCCTCCTCCTCCTCCTCTCCCCATCACTTCTCCTCCTCCTCCTCCTCCTTTTCCTCCCTCTTCCTCTCCTGCGTCCCACAGTTTCCCGTTCCTGCCCCCTCCCCCCCCCAGCGCCCCCTTCCTGCGTCGCTGTGGGCACCGGCCATGCAGGTCCCCCCCCTTTGGCTCCGTATTCCCTCCTGCAGTGTCCAGTTCCTGCCCATTTTCTTTAGTGGCGGGGGCCCGTGCCCCGCGCCGAGCGGACGAGGGGGACAAGGAGGAGGAGAAGGAAGAGGAGGAGGACGAGGAGGAGGAGGAGGAGGGGAGGGGGGGAGGGAGGGAGGGCGGGCGGGAGGGAGGGAGGGATGAGTATTAGGATGAGGATGAGGATGCGGATGGAGATGAGGATGAGGATGAGGATGGGGATGGGGATGGGGATGGGGATGGGGATGAGGATGAGGATGAGGATGAGGTGAATAAAAATGATTATGAGGATGAGGATGTCGATTAGGATGAGGATGATGATGAGGGTGAGGATGAGGATGAGGATGAGGATATTGCTGCTGCTGCTGCTGCTGCTGATGATGATGATGATGATGATGATGATGATGATGATGATGATGATGATGATGCTGATGCTGCTGATGATGCTGCTGATGCTGATGCTGCTGATAATGATACTTATGCTGATGATGCTGATGCTGATGCTGATGCTGATGGTGATGGTGATGATGATGACGACGATGATGATAATGCTGATGCTGATTATCATCATGATCATGCTCGTGATGATGATGATGATGCTGATGCTGCTGATGATGTTGATGATGATGCTGCTGCTGATGATGATAATGATGATGACGGTGATGACGGTGATGAAACGGATGATGAGTCGCCCATATGGCACGAGCGCAGGTTTGGCGACAGGCGCCGTCCCATCGGATCACCCCTTGTCCTGCTGGTCCCCGCAGTTGAAGAAGGCCTCGAGCGGCCGCTGTCTGATGAGGGCGGCAGGCGGAGTTCAGGCAGCGTTTTCTTCCACATGTGGAGAGCGGGTACACGACCTCGCGCTGAACCAGTCTCACGTTTGGCGCATGATGCACTACAACCCTCTCGCAGCCACAGGGGGTGATCGCCTCGAGGAGATAGAGTTAGCACGTTCCAACTTCGATGCGATCACGCTCGTGGGCACTCAGCGTAGGACGAAAGAGAAGATGGAGCAGCCTCGGAGTGGCAACCGATGGCGTATTGATGCGGGATGGTCCGCTGGCTCCATGACCAGTAAGTCCACGGGCGTGTTGATTTCGCTTGGTTCCCAAATTCGACAGAAGCATTTGCGTAGAGCGCAAGTTTCCCCTGGCGCATTTGGCTGGAAGAGGGCCAGCGGCGATAGTATCATCTATAGAGAATGGGGTTACACAGTCATTGGAGCTTATTACCCACCCAGGCCAACATCGGTCAACATTATGCAGGCTCATGACAAAATTGTCAAGGCACTGACATATTGGCTCGATCAGATTATCATCACCACCCTCTCCCACAGCATTCCTATCATTGCAGTTGACCTCAAAGACGGGCTCGGGTAAGATCATGATGCAGCTCGCGGAAGGGAGGGGTACCTATTGGAGACACCGGCTGTCCTTCCTGATGGTGCCTGTCGCGAGCACCGAGCAGGCAAAGCATTTCGTGAACTCACGGAGCGACACTTTCTATTTGCCCCCACGACGGGGAACGACGTGGCTACGTGGTACGGAAGCCGGGGGATATCAGCAATCGTTAGCTCTATGGCCACACCGCAAACCCCTTTCCCTGATGACGCGAACAAGTGGGCCTAGACTTCGTCTGGGCCGACGCACCCAACATTCCTGGCAAGCAACGACGGGACCATGGGCCGCTACACGTTGAATTTCGTTTACCAGGAGCTCGAACATTGCACGCCACCGCAGGAGTTCGTTGGGGTCAAGGTAAGCTGATGACAGCCACTTCGTTTTCGGGCAGTGGGGAGGGTGAACCGTTCATCGCCGACGTAGACCAGTATCTAGCACATCATGCCGACGAAATCATGGACCTTACAATAAACAGATGTTCCCCTGACCCACTTTTTAGACATCTGGAGCGTTGCTTGATTACGACTAGCGAGGCGTATGGCACACGCCAATCTACATACGGTGATCCAGAGTACCAGGAGCGGATGGCATGGATCTAATAGTTTTGTTTTTGCTTACATAAACGGAAGGATTCCCCCCTTCCTCGCCGGGCGCTCTCTCCTATCCTTTCCTTCTCTCCGCAGCCATCGAGGTTTAGTGCGGCTGCATTTTGCTCGGGGCCCGAGCGCGCGCTGCACGGGCCCAGGGGCGGCGGCGGGTGGGTCTCTGGAGCCGCCGCGCCCGTCCGGGAGCCAGCTGGCCGGAAATGCCGCGGGGGCTTTAGTTGGGATCGCCTTGCTGGGCGACGGGCCATCCCCCGCGTCGTCGCCTGGAGCGGGGAGCGCGACCTCCCCTGGGCAGGGAGTGGAGGAGAGGCTCGAGCGGGGCCCCCCTCAGCCATCGGATGAACCGGTTGGCGACCTCTCCCCCGCAGAAGAGGTTGAGGGTGGTCTCGGGGGCCCCTCCGGGCCCCTTCGCCTTCTCCTTCCTGACCTGGAGGCGCGGCGCGCAAGGTGCGCGCTGCGCTGCAGGTCCGACGTCGTCGGCTTTCGCATCGCCGACGACCTTCGGGGCTCGGAGGGCATCCCTGGGGGGGCCCCCCGCCACCAGCTGTGACGAGGTGGAGGAGGTGGTCGGGACATGCATGCGGGAATTCAATTTTGGACGTCTGACGGCACCTCCGGGTGGGTGCTGGACATCGTACTTCGTCTCCTCCCTGCCGTGGCGGGGCCGAGCGGGAGGCACCGTGAACGGTCTCGCCCGTGCCAGCTTGACGTCCCGCGACTTGTTGCTATTTCTTCGAATTCGAGTTCTCCTTTTTTCATCATCTTCTTCTTCTTCTTCTTCGTGTTCGGCCTCTGCTCCTGATGCCCCAACGGGCCTGCGCCGCTGCCCCCTCCGCAACCGCCGCTCGTCTTCACGGGGTCGGATGTGCTGCGTGTGCGGCAAACGGTCCTTCCACCTGCTCGACCTGTTCCTGCGCCGCTTTCCCGCCCGTCGCGGGCGCGGCCGGGGCAATGCCGGGGCGACGTTTCGATTGTCTCTTGGAGCGCCGAGGCCATTTTCGCGGTGAATGGCTCTCGCCACGCCGCCAACGCACGATGCGTATACGTGCGCTCCTTGCTTGCTGGCTGCGACGTAGTCTTGATCGCCGAGGCCCATGCTGCGCGTGGCCAGCATAAGGCCGGGGCCCCTTCCGCAGGGCACAAGTGCACCGACGCCAGCTGGTCCCTCCACGGGCCATGCCGGCGTCGGCATCATCGCGATGAACGTCTTTCTGGAGCGCTTCGAGGACATCCAGTGGGAAGCGTCATGGCCGGGGCGCGCTCTCCAGCTACGTCTCCGCGGCAGGGACGGTGCTCTGGACGTTATCGTGAGTTACTTCCACGCAGGCGCGACGGTGCAGGAGCTCGACGTGTGCGGGGTCCCCGAAGAGCAGCGGGCTCGCTGCGCGTCTTTCCGGCCCTTCGGGAGTTGCTACGCGTCCGCCGTGGCCAGCGCATCGGCGCCCAGACCAGCGTTTTGACAATTTTGGGGGAGACTTTAACTGGGCCCCGGCATCGGTGGGCCGCCTCTGCTGCGCCGATGCTGGCCCCTCTGGCCGCCAATATTTTCGCGAGCGGGGCCGCGTCCAAGCCGTGCTGGGCCGCCCTTTCGGATTTGCAGAGATGCACCAACCAGAGATGACCTTTGCTCCCTCGCGCGCCCAGTCGGCTGGACAGGATCTACTGCAGCCGGCGCGTGGTGGGGCAGCTCGACAGGGAGGAAAAAACGGTTGCCATGGAATGGAAACACGCATTGTCAGATCACAGCCCCCCCCCCCCCCACGTCTGCCCGCGCGGGGGCGGCCATTGACCGATTACCAAGTGCGCCACGTGGATTTCGAGAGGCAGGCGTGGCTGGAGTTGCTCCACCCGCTGTCCCAGCGCCTGGGCGCTTCTGGCTTGCAGAAGCTGCAGATGACCAAAGATGCAAGGAGGCATACCGGGCCGCCCGTGGCGCCACTCCCCAGGGGGGTGCGCCCGAGACCGTCAACCTTGAGGATCGGCTGGGAGTGACGACGCGATTCCTGAGGGCGGCCGAGACGGGCAGCACGGGCGTGATCTCTCGATTCTTGTGCCGTTATCCGCGCCTCCAGGATCTCCTTCCGAATCCGCGCGATATACCCGGCACCGCGCCGCGCGCGGTCTGCGGCCAGTCCGCGATCGCGCTGTGGAGCTCGCGCGCGAGCACAGCTTGGATGAGCTCGGGAAGGCCCGCGAGGAGCTGAAGGCGGGGGGCGACGCGATTGCAGGCAGACGAGGGCGACGGGCGCAGCAGCTACTGTGCCGGCTGCTCCCGGGTCAGGGTGGAGGCGTTCGCGCGGTTCGCGCGCCTTGTGGAGACAACCTGACTGACTCTGGTGCTATGGCGCAGATGCTTGTGGTTTATTGGGGCCCGGCGTTCAGGGCGCGGGGGGGTCAGCGCGGACCTCCTGGCGCGCTGGCAGGAAGAGGATGCGGCGCACCGTGCGGTTCGCGGTCCGCGGCGTGATGGGGCGCCCTATCTGAGGCTCCGCAAAGAGCACGTTCGCCGCGCCATCCGAATATCGAACAATTCGTCCCTGGCCCGGGCGGCAGTACCTATGCCGCCCGGCGCCGGGTGGGAGGTCTCGCAGTCGACGTCGCGTTCCAGGCCTTCGAGGAGCTTTGCGAGGATGGCGCGCTGGAGCGGCTGGGGGAAGTGGCGCCGGACCTCAACGCGAGCCTCGTCAGCTTCCCCCCG